TATTAGAAAAAACCAATCATTTATTTTCCCAAATTTGATTATGATCTGGACTCAATGCATTAGCCAATGAAAAATATGGAGGATAGTTATTGCATATTGTTTTTAATTAAATTTTGGCCAAATATGAGGGCAAAAGTAAAGCAATGTAGATAACAGGATTGACTTTGAAGAATTCGGTCACGAAAGACCAAGAGGGTTTGGCTTCTATCTTGTTTGCTTTGTATAAAAGTGGTCTGATCTTGTTTTCGCAGCTTGGCCATGTTGTCATGGCAACCTAGGTGTGCGTAGCTTGTCTGCCATAGTAGTCAGTATTTGTTCCACGTCCGACCGTGGACTTCGTACAAACTCAGACGTTTTACTGGCATTATCCATGAACCTTGCCAGTCTTAGCACCAAGCTACAACTTGTTCAAGAGGGAATAAACTCCATACAGTGACAGGCTTTCTGCAGAACACTAGTTATATCTTCCCTTCTCCCTCGATGCACTCACCGACAGACTACAAACAACTGAAGGCACACAATGAAGAGGAACCCCTAAAGCTGATAGTCAAAAATAAACATAGAGTGACGCAAGACTGTCGAAATTAATATACTTTAAGCTCAAAAAGGCAAATGACGGGTTATAAAACAAATGAAAAATTCGTATGAATTTTCTAAAAATATCAGAAAAATTACGTGAGAAGGAATATAAAATTTACAAAAGATCCAAGATACAAGCACTCAAGGCCCTGCTGGAGATCCTGGAAGCAGAGCGGGTACAGGATCAGTTAACAGGACTGAGAAATTTGATAATAAAGACTACCTACTTTACATTCAAAGGCAGCATCTGGGAACGGATGTTTGACTTCTTATGAGATCTATAGCCATGGCTCTTTTGGGAAACGTAAACATGGATAAATCATAAAAGAAATTCAAGAAGTCATCGCAGCAATCAAGATTGCTTATGAGATTCTTGAATAGCTACTCTGCACTGTATGGTAGAGAAAATTTAGAAAAATGCATGAAGTTTATTAATTAGGTTGATCAAATAATAGAATTAAAGTTGCCTAAAAATAACGAAACGACTTTATTGTCTGATTCCATGATAAGGTCAGGGAGTTTGATTAAAAATCTGGCCTGACTGTTGGAAAATAATTCACATCATTATCAGGAAGTCTACAAGTAACAAAATATTAGTGGCACCATCGGTAGAAACAGTAAATAAAAAACAATATGCATACTGTGGTGACAAGTTGTCGACTGGCCTCTGAAGTAATAGTTGACTTCGCTCGGCCGTTGGCTGCTGTCGTTTCGGAGCGAATAAACCGCGAAAACAAGGACTGTGGTGAGGAAAGCAAGGAATCAATTGGTTGGGTAGGGGTTGGCGTAAGATTATCATCCAGCACCCGAGGCGACTGCTGCTTCGTGAATTGATAAAGAGAAGTATAGGCACGCTCACGGTGTCGCCAGCTTGTCTCCTGGGCCCTAGCCTCAGCATATTCGCGAAGCATGTCCTCATAGAGAGTCTGAGCAAGGACAATATGAGAAATACGACAAAAGCAATACGATTAAATTATAATGAAGCGATGGTTGTATAAGCAAAACATAACTCAATATAAAACCCAACGAATGACTCAAAAATGACATGATAAAAACAAAATAAGAGCATAAAAAGAG